GAAAGAGTTTCTCTTTAGATAAGAACTATGAAAACACATTATTAAATAATCACATTGAATTGAATAAGAGATGCAAAACATTTAATTGAAAAGGAAAGAAAGAATTCCTCTGAAGTCTAATTGAATTAATTTCCATCACTAATAACCTTGAGATCAATCTTCTTGAGATTTCAATATGATATAAATTGATATATACTATGATGAATTTCTCCTGTGGTGAGTGTTGATATAAATTGACAATAGAGAACAATTAGGATTTGTAATTTTGTAACTATTAAATACAAGCTTTAAAGAAAACTTATATAAAGAAGAAACATAAATAATACATATCTGGACATTATCTCATTGCTTTCAATAGACACTTGAATTATATATATAAATACTTAATTATGTCAAATTATACTGAAATGAATCAAATATGCAGAGCATCAAATTATACTCAATTCTCTATAGAATGATTTAATTATGCCACAACAATATTTGACAATCATCTCACAGTTCATGGAAACCTCGAGAAAATATTTCATACGTTATATGTATCCATATGGATGATGAATCATATTCGCAAAAAATGAATACTGAGTGGCCTCCGTGAATATAATTCATATAACATATGTAACATTTTCTCTAAAATCTTGGGCATCATGTGGAAACCTCCACCTTCTTCTCCTCCAACGTCTCCCCTGCAATTTTCTCCGCCTCCGCAGGCGCTTCAGTCTTTGGCTCATCCTTCTCCGGCGTTGTCTCCTTCATAACTTCAGCCTCCTGTTTAATACTATCCTTGTTCTCATCCTTGCTGCTATCTCCATTTTCATCGGCCGCCATTGGATCAGTCTTATCCTGCAATCTCTGAAACTGAGAACATAGCTGCAAAACAGTAGAAGAGTATGATGATTGGCGGACTAGTTAATACCTTGACAGTAGCTTCGCCATTGTTGGAGTTCAAAATGGTCTCCTTGGCATCGTTGGTGTCCTGACCAGCTGCTTCTGGTTTGTCGCCATCGGAGGTCTTGGGTTTGCGGATGCAATTCCCCATTGAGCAGAGCGGGGTTTGGTTGGGGACTGTAAGAATTAAGGATTAGTAAGTTTGGTAGATGGGAGTTTGAAAATCGTTAGCTTTATATAAATAATATAAGTTATTGGGGGAATGGGGAGAGCTGAAATGAGGAGGAAGAAGAGGCGCAAATAGCTAACTTTAGATATGGTAAGCTGTTGATATTTGTTAACTATTTATTTTGGACTGTTTCATCATTAATGAATTTGATGTGATAAGTAAGATAAATGTGGACTCTTGTAATTATAGAGTTTGTTAACAAGCGGGGAAACCGAGGGCTCGGTCCAAGTTAGAAAGTTCATTGTCGAAGATATTTAAGATCTCTCTGTCGTGGTTTTTTAAACCGTATTTTAAATTAATAAATATTGAGAAAGTTTTCTGTCTAAAAATATTAATAATAAAATTGAATGATGTTTCAATATTTTTTAAAAAGTTCAATAATATTGAAATAAATATTGTATTTTTGTTATACCAATAATTTTTTAAAATGAAGTTGAGTTTTAGATCTCCTTATCAATTAAATTGAGTATCAAATTGAGTGGTTGATTTGCCCCTCTTGTTTTGTTTGAGGAAGATGTGGCTTAACATCTAATATTGGGACCAATTTGGTATGGATTTAGTCTCGTTGGAGGCTCCAAGGAGTGTGAGTGGTCAAGCTAACATGTGAGCCACTCAATAAATAGCTCATGTGTTGAACTTAATGAGCTAACGGGCTAAATTTGAACCAAGCCCAACTCAAATTGTTAGTTTGTGTTGTCTAAAATATGATTAAGCTATTTTAGAATTCAATAAATTAAACGTAAAGTTATTATAATATTTAAAAAATTATCTCTTTTTCTATCAAGAAATTTCTTATTATCTTCATTCTAATTTTTTCCCCTTTTATAATTTTAATACAATAATGTCTTGAGTTATAATCTCCTTAAATTTGAGCTTAATCACGCTCATGCCGGGGGTTCTTGAGCACTGACTCTTATAAATTTTGCTTGACGAAAGATGACAAAAATTAGAGCTTCAGAATTCTTATGATAAATTTTCTTCATATCCGTCGTGATCGTTCTATAGAAAATGTTTATTATTAATGAGATAAAAAATGGAGAAACAAAAAATGGACAGACAAGTAGCTTATGTTATGCGAATATGGTCACATGATGACTTCTCAGATGGTATACTTATTGCATATTCACGGTCTCTCTACATTTTGCCAATAAATAATGAAAAAGTTAAGGTATTAGCTTGATCATGTAAGAGGCATGTTAATAAATCCAACTTTGAGCTAAAAGTGGCGCGTGATAAATAATCTCAGCATAAAAAAAAGCTGGAAGCTTAGAAAAAAACATTACGTTCGGAGTCCGAACGCAGTGTTGCGTCCGGACAACATACGTGATACAGCAAAGCAGAGCGGGAGCTCGGACCTCCGTTGTATCAAGTCTGTTGTCCGGATGCAACTTGCGTCCGGGCTCCAGACTCAATATTTTCTTGAATCTCTATTGGTTACATCTTGACAACTAAATCAGCATAGAGGTAGAACTATATATACGTTGGGTTATAACAAATCCTACAGCTTTTGTCTCATTCTAATTTACCTTGAGGAGTTGCGTCCAGACTCCAGACTCAATATTTTCTTGAATCTCTATTGGTTACATCTTGAGAACTTAATCAGTATAGATGTAGAACTATATATATGTTGGGTTATAACAGATCCTCTAGCTTTTGTCTCATTCTAATTTACCTTGAGGAAGAATGGAGGATTGGGCTTATGGTTACTTTTGCCTCACCATATCTTGCGAGCACTCTTTCAAAGCTATATTAAATTCATCAACAATCTTGTCCGGACATGCCATAACAAGCTAGAGTTCTAGAACAATAGCATCATCATATCTTGAAAATCACGTGTGTGTTGGGCTGTGGAGCCTAAGCGCATGGGTGCTGCTTGAACAGAAGAGAATTTAATTTTATAGTACGCCACTCGTAGAGTGAATACCGACAATTTAATAGGATGGTTTGATACAAAGTGCAATGCTTTTTCATTCAACAACAAAAATAATTTTGCTATTGAATCTTCCACCCATCCCAATGTATTTTTTTTTTTGTGGAAATTTACATACATACCATTCAATTCCTTTGTATTTACACAACTCACACCTAAAATTTAATTTTTACATGCACACCAAATTAGCTTTTCATGACAAGTTGTATTTTATTTTTCGAAAATTAAAATATGGGTATCAGAAAAACTAAAATAGTGATTTTTTTGATATTGATATGTGGTCAACAAATTTTCAACATCTAACATGAATCTTGAGGCATGACAATGATTTCAAGACGATTTTTTGAGCGATAAATGTTCAAAATTCAATTAAAAGTCATCTAGAGCTCCAATTTTAACAAACTTATAGTCAAACTGACTGACTCGATGAGATGAACAAAACGGTATAAAAATTGTTCCAATCCGAACCAAATCAAGCCTTGATCAAGCTATTAAACCGCTTTTAAAAGCTTTTTAAGCATCTTTAGAAAATCAACCAGATATCGAATCTTGCGAGCTTGTAGTCAAATCGAGCGTTTCAATAAGATGAATTCAATGAACCTAAGATCACTCAATTTTGATAACGCTAAGGTTATCAAATGTCCATCATATGTTGTCTAATTGAAAAAATCTCTCTGAGCTGTCTGATCAGGTTGGTTTAAATTTCTTCATTAATTGCAAACGAGTCTTTATAAATAGAGCCCTACCCTCCTCTTAATGGGGGACTTGAAGCTTGAAGTCCGAAGAAGATTAAAGATTAGAGAAGAAGCTGAAGTCTAACATCACTTACACATTGAGGATGCAACAAACGTCTCATACTCCTAACAGTCGCCAACCACTATCAACCACTACTCACCGGCCGGTGCCCACTCTTTGAGACGAAATACCATACAAAACAACCTACGAAGTGACACATCATCATGGACGTCATGCCAACCCTGAAGACAGTGCATTGAAGCGCTGACTATTACTCTCCATAGTGGTCTTCTCTACCATGGGGAGACAGGTTCATCAGCACACCGACATTATAGCTTGTGAAACTGTATAATCCTTTCCCGTTTGTGAGACAAAAGACTATAATTACAATCATCAATTTATATTGGATCTCTTCAACTGGGCCTAACCTTGTGCTTTTTGCCTTATTAGGTTTTCTACTTAAAAAACCTTCTGGTTTTTCCGCCCATCATTTATATTACCTAAGTGTGTGATGGATTCTCGTGCAACACTAAGAAATTAATTAATATCACTCAAGCGTCATGAATTCTCTTGTGAGACTTGCTACATGGCCACCAAATGCAATACTCGCAGCAAAAGAGCATCCTGCTCCAACACCTATCATTCCAGAGGGCAGTCACAGAGCTAGCGTGTCACATCTTCCCATCCTAAATGGAGTTACCTTGCTGGTTAAGGCTCCTCGGGCAAGATGATGAAATCTCAATTACGCAGAGCTCTACATCCTCTACTCGATGGAGCTTACTCGCCACCGATTTAGAAGCTGGCAGAAAATGGCCCGCTTAAAAATACTCGTACCCCCTACTAATGAACCTTTCCTTTGTCAAATCAGGATGCTGACCTCTTGGATACTACAAGTTCTACTCATCTGACTGACACAACTCACCTGGCACATGCTACGCCTTGCTATTGTTTCTAACAATTTCATTCACGATGAGTTACAATGCTCGACCCGAGCAGAGTTTTCTATTGAGTAAAAGAACTGCTTCCCCGCTCGCTGAAAATGCCAAGAATCATCTTCTTTAACAGAGGTGATTCTCCAACAAGCCATCCTAGTGGACTTCAAGGTCCTTAACAAAGACATCTACAAAGAGATAACTGGCCCCTACGAGTATGACCACTATCGAACCATCATGTAAATTCAGCGTGCCTCTGGTGGTATTCACAATTACTCTTAAGGGACAAGCTAGCACCTGCTTCCACTCTCTTCCAAGAAACACTATCACATTTGAGTGTCTTAAAAATCTCGAGAATGAGTGATCTTGAGCTCGTTGGATTCATCTTATTGAACGCTCGATTCGACTATAAGCTAGCTAGATTTGACATCCGCTTGACCTTCTAAAGATGCTCGAAAGTGTCTTAATTATCTATATAAAACACATCCTTTCTTGTCAAATATTCTGACATCCTTGCAAAAGAAATATCGCACGAAACAACCTATGAAGCGACACATCATCATAGGCACACTCTAGCCCCGAAGAAATTGCATTGCAGCCCTGACTATTACTCTCTATCGTGATACTCCCTATTGTGAGGGGATATGTTCATCCACACACCGACGTTGTAGCTTGGGAAACAATGTAACAATTTCTCGTCTGTAGAACTGGGGGTTATATTTGTAATTACCAATTAATAATAGATTTCTTCAACTAGGCGTGACCCTGTGGTTTTTTCTCTTTCGGTTTTTTCATGCAACAAATCTTCTGATATTTCTACCCATCATTTCTATTATCTGAATGTGTGTTGGGTTCAAGTGCAATGGTAAGACGTTAATTAATCAGTCCACCGCCATGAATTCTTTTGCACACATTAGATATGATATAAAAATTCTGGGTGGTATAAGTGTAAACAAATAAAGTTTATATGTTAGATATATATATGTAGATAATAATTTGTTGGTATGTATGTAAACATCCCATTATTTTTTAAAAAAATCTTTTGCATATACCTAATATATATTTGTATTAAAAAATCTCTATTTCTTTTACATTTGAGCGAAGCAAAATAAAAATAAAATTTATGAGATAAAATTATAAATAATTTCAACGTGTAAATATTTTTTGTTTGATGTGCATATATATTAATTTATTAAGATCTTTAATATTTTTTATGTAATTAGTGTGAGTTTCATATGAAATCTTCATTTTGATTAAATTATATTAATTAAATAGCTTCTTGTTAAAACATGAAATTATTTTTTGAATTTATCAAAAAATACAAAAATAATTTGAAATGCTTGTAATATTATTCGATATATCAATAATAATGAAATATAATATTTTATTTTAAATATTGTGCTATTATTTTTCTTATATAATAAGTTTGTAGATCTTAAAAAAAAAAGGACTGCTTTCAATAAACACTAATTCTGCATATTATAAATTATTAATCAAAAGAGCACATGTTAAATATATTTATATTAATATGCCCTCTAATAATTAGAATATTCGATAGGTGGAGATTCGAGGGCAAAGTGTAGTTCAGCATTCAAATTCATTAGGCAAACTAAACCATGATTCAAGGTATTTTTCTCTAATCCTCGAATCATGGTTTAGTTTAACTGCAATGGCGTCATGCATGATGCATGCGGCCGCCCCCTTCAGGTCAACGACAATAAAGGAATAAATCATTCATAAGCTTTTCTTAATTGAGCCTAATATATTGTCATTAAGCGTGTAATTAGTAATCAGCATAAGCTTTTCTTAATTGAGTCTACTATATTGTCATTAAGCGTGTAATTAGTAATAGTAAAATGGAATTGGAATAATTAAAATCCACTTAACAAATGTTAACGGGCGTCAGAAATACGACAGCGAGTGCATCATCAGTTTTCGGAATCTATTTTAGCCTCCACAGGTTATGAATAAATAGAAGAACAAAGCTTGTTTTCCGAAGAAATTAGTGAAGACGAGAAAGTGCTTTCTTCTGGTAAGATCTATCTTTTTTTTTTTTTCTGAATTTAATATTGTATATAATATGGATTTTAATTATTCCAATTTCATTTTGAATTCCCCAATGATTTCTATTGTCTGCAGTTGATTTCTAAAGCTAGCTAGCTCAGTTTTCTGCTTTTTATATCTTGTATATATTTGTCAGTTATATTATTATAGTTTGTAGTATAATTAATTAACTTAATCAATTGGTTAGCAAAGGTTCTGCCATGGCTAGCGAAGGGGGGGAAGGGAACTGCATTGGTTGGGCTGCAAGAGATGCATCTGGAGTTCTGTCACCCTATAGATTCAACAGAAGGTTTGATACATACAAATCAGGGAACCGATCGATCCTAATCAAAGGAATAAAAAAAAAAAAGCATTTGTTAACGTACAGCTTGTTTCTTCAGTGAAGATTAATTAATACAATATCCATGTTATATTCAGTTAATTATGTAATGATATATGCAGGTCGCTTGGAGATGATGATATATCTATAAAGATAACACAGTGCGGTGTGTGTTATGCAGATGTTATTTGGACAAGGAATCGACATCATGATTCTAATTATCCTCTCGTGCCTGGGTGAGTTCTTCTTCGATGGATGCCGAGACCTACAAGGCTACAATACATAGTACATAATGGATTGATTGATATCTTTAGACTAGGAGGGGGATCAAAATAAAAAAAATGAGCTAGAATAAATAAATAAATGAAATTAAAAAAAATAGCTGAGAACAATAAAAACAACATTATACCTATTATAAATAAATATCTTAAATTGTGTCTGAAGCTTTTTCGTTGTATCCAAATCACAATCAGTTATTGATCATCTATCAAAACTCATTGTAATGTCTTTTGAATTATCTGTTATTAAATAACTCACAAGTAAATTATTTTTTATTTTATTACGCATGCTTGTTATGATAATCATTATAGCTGAAAATGCATGCTCATTTCAAGATCAGTCTTCAAACGATTAATAAGAAAGATACATGGCTTATTTCTTGTTTTGAATAATATTTGATGTTTAGAAATTTTTTAGAGATTTTTTTTTCTAATAAGCTTTAATTTTAAAATGCACTAATTGAACTTTTAAGCATTAACTAATTTGTATTTGTAAACTCTTCTGGATAAATTTATTTGAAAGTTGATGAATATCATCAATTTTGAATAGTTGTTATTCATCTAGAGAATTCAATGCAAAAGTAAGAACTAGTAGAGTCAAATGACTTTGTTAAATACAGCTCACACAAATAAAAGAAGTTACAACAACAATCAGAACTCCTGTAACACAAGAAAAATTAAAATAAACAAGCATGTCACATCTTTCTCATGAACAGAGCAGAGGGAGTTGAACTAGAAGTACTAAATATTTTTGTACAAACATTGAATTATAATATTAGTTAAATTAAAACATTTTGTTTTGATATAACTTCATATTTTGTTAGATATGGAGAAATGAGATGAAGCGTTTAAAAATAATAAGCTCAAAAAATTTTTAGTTGAACTTTATAAATATTAATTTTGTCATGCAATTTCAACAATGGGAAAGACTAGGGATAAACTATCCTTAAAACAAACACCATTTAAATAATATAAATAATTGTTTATTATTTCTAATAACAATAGCTAGCATCCAAATGCTCATATTTCTAGAGGAACACATTTAAGCAACAAACTAAAGTAACTAGCTAGCACAATGCAGCAAGTGACTTTAGCCCTCAAAATAATCATTTCAGTGTAGCCAACTATCAAAGAAAGAAAAGAAAAGTAAAAAGTTTAAGTATTATACTTAAGATCTTGCTGTACTTTTCAGGCATGAGATTATAGGCATTGTCACTGATGCGGGCGCTGGTGTTACATGTTTCAAGACCGGCAATGTTGTTGGCGTTGGAGCTTATGTTAATTCTTGCAGAGAATGTGAATATTGCAATGCTTATACAGAGCCTCACTGTGCCAAAGGAGCAACTATGACTTTCAACTCCATCGACATAGATGGTTCATTCACAAAAGGAGGATATTCCAGCTACATTGTTGTCCACCAGAGGTGAAAATTTGTTCACAATCTTGATCATGAGCAGTCTCCTTCAATCTTTTGTTTCAAGTTCTCAGCTCAGCTTACTGATGGCTTGGTTGCAGGTACTGCTTCTTGATACCTCAAGGCTACCCACCAGCAATGGCAGCACCCCTTCTGTGCGCAGGAATCACTGTATACAGTCCAATGAAATACTACAACATGAACCAGCCCGGAAAATCTCTCGGAGTCATCGGGCTCGGAGGCCTCGGCCATTTGGCAATCAAGTTCGCCAAATCTTTCGGTCTAAACGTAATAGTCTTCAGTACAAGTGCATCAAAGGAGGAGGAAGCCATCCATCTTCTTGGAGCAGACAGATTTGTCATCTCATCAGACAAGCAACAGATGCAGTCATTTACTAAATCTCTGGATTTCATAATTGACACTGCTTCTGGGAATCACCCACTTGATGCTTTTGTTTCACTTTTAAAGCCGCGTGGAGTCCTTGTCATTGTGGGCGATATTGAAGTTAAACTTAAATCTGTAGACCTTATTCATGGTATAGATCTCCTCTCCGACTAACAAAATGAATTAATTTTCATTGTCTTTTTAAATTTTTAATGTAATATGATGATGTTGGCAGGTTCAAAGGCCATAGCTGCGAGTACTGTAGGTGGTACGAAGGACATTCAAGAGATGTTGCAGTTCTGCGCCGCAAATAAAATATATCCAGAGATTGAGATTATTGAGATACAATATATAAATGAGGCGCTTGAGAGGCTCGTCAACAGGGATGTTAAGTATCGCTTTGTGATTGATGTGGAGAATTCTCTGAAATAAATTGAAGGGGATGAACATGTTCTAAGAGTTTATGGCGGACCTGTTTGTAGTTTGGTTAGTTTCCTTCAGCATTTTGTTCCAAACTGACAGAAGTTGTGTATTTCCTTGCGCATAAAGAATGAAATAAATAAATAAATAAATAAATTTATTTCTTGTGTTTAGTAAGTTTCCTACTATTATCCAGAAGCATCAAAACTTTAAATAAGTTAAGAAAAAAAGATCAAGATGATTAGCATAAATTTTAGTGAAACAAAAATGTAAAAATGTTAATTTTGATGGATTTATAATTATAAATAGATTTAAAGATAAATATTTTTTTAAGAAAAAAAAATCCAATGTATAGTTAAGTATTACTATATTGAAATTCAACATTCAATTATTGCAATTATACTATTTTAAGAAACTTATTTAGCAAATTTAAAAGAATTAACATTAAATTAGCCGACTTTTGTTTTAAAGAATTAGCTTACTTTCTATCAAATGTGTAGTATATTAGTTGAAAATAATGTAAGTAATATATTGAATGAAGAGAACGAAGTTTAGAAGTAATTTTTCATTTATATTCTTCTTGGGCATAAGCATATTTATGTTCTTCTCCATACAAGTTACAATCATTAATTTGTTGTTATGCAAATATTTTATTATTCTAAAAAAAATGGCCAAGATCCTATAATAAAAGGGATAGGAAAATAAAATCTCGAACGAATCAATCAAATAATAAAACACTTAACATATTCGGTATTAAGGTTTTCCTCACCTAAGGGTTTCTTCTTCTCTTGCAGCCACGTCCCCTCTACTCTTCTCTCATTCGTCTTTTGGCAGGAGGTTCTACAATAATGAAATCTCCTCCTCCCCCAAACTCACTTAAAAGCCCATTCAACAAATTTCACTTAGCCTCCCTAAAAAAGTAATTTCTTCTTAGTGAGAACATGTCTTTCAGTGGGTTTCTTCTTGGAGCTACTTCGCCGGTTGACCCTTCCGCTGAAACCCACCTCTCTCTCTCTCTCTCTCTCTCTCTCTCTCTCTAAATGGCTGTCCTCCTCTCCTTATCACCTTTAAATCTAGCAACATTTCTCTTCCCACACCTCTTTGTCCATCTTCTCTAATAAACCTTAATTGGAAGAGTCTTCTCTATGCTAATCCTACAACATCCAATAACTTGGAGCTCAACTGCATTCCTTATTTTGATCCAGCTGTCTCCTTCTCATCTACATAAATTAAAGATGGTGAAAAGAGATGGAATCTTGCCCCCAATTGGTTGCTTCTTCAGTAAATGACCTTATTATGACGCGCTTCTTGAATATCTTAGAAAAACTTGGTCTCCCCGAGGTGACTTCTAATGATCTTTATGAATGATGGTTTCAGCTTAATGAAGTGCTCTTGTAAGGAAGATGTTGATTTAGCTTGGACATGCGGTCCTTAGTTTTTCTTAATTTGGCAATCCATTTATTTTGTAGTAATGACCCCCTCAGTTTCAGACCACTAAAGAGGAATTCTCGTCTATTCCATTGTGGATTAAGATTCATAAGCTTCCCTTTGGTACTACAATTCATACAATATTTCAAAAATTAGCAACAAAGTAATTGGTACTCCTATAATTTGTAGATGTACTAACTGCTAATAAGTCTCGTTTAACATTTGCTCAAGTATGTATGCAAATTGCTAATGTTTTTCCCTCCCTGATGAAATTCTCCTAAGATTTGATGGCAAAGAGCAGCCTTTCTCCCTCTGTCGGGTGTCACTCAAATTTCCATGTTTTTTCTTCTTGTCCTACCAACTCTATCTGTTCTTCAACCCTTGCATCTCTTCTCACTTTCTCTTAACCCAAGAGGGGTAGAAGCAATAGTGCTAGGCGTAAACCAAAATGCTCCCAAGCCCCTTCTGCAATTAAGCACATACTATCCCAACCAAAACCCACCTTGTTTCTCTCTCTCGCTCTCCTCTTACATCCCCTCAACCTAATTTTTCAACCTAATTTCTCCTTGGAATCCCTAACCAAATTTTTTCAGACAATCTAAACCCAATACATCAACGAGATACTTCAAACATCATACCTACTCCACCTCTCTATCTTCCTTCTTCCTCCTCTAAACTTAACAATAATAACCCAAGAATCATGATCCCTCCACTATCTCTAAAAACACTTAGCACAATGAGGTTCCCAATTTAACCACTCGGAATGTCTAAGATTTCCTTGGACTTGATCGGATTCCTTGTTTTAGAAACTTAATCACATAGCAAAATTTGGACCTCCTTTGCATTCTAGAACCCAAAACTTTTCAAAATCATATTCTTTCTATTTATCCTCCCACTCTTTGTTTTCTTCTGAAAAAAAGTGCAATTACTTTCACATCTCTTCTGATAGAAATTGGGTCAGGTGGAACAGTGCAAGTTAGACTTTATTTTTTGAATCATAGAAAAGCAGGTCATCTATGCATGCTACCGTCACTAACAATGCACATAAAGTCAAAATTTCTAATTTTTATGTTGCCAATACACATCAGAAAAGGGAAGGCCTATTGAATTCTATTTCATACGTTGCAAGTTTTGTCATTGATTCTATGATAATTTTTGGAGATTTCAACTGTTGCAGATTTTGAAATGAAAAAGTTTGTGCACACGTCTTCCTTCGAAAAAATTTAAGACTATTAATGAATGTTTTTTCCATATTGGGATTTCTTATATTGCTTAAAGTGTATCTCATAAAGAATAAACCTATCGCTTGCAAGCTGGTACAACGTTTTTTCTTCTGATACTTGGCTTAAGACTTTCCCTCAATATTTTAGCTGTGTCCTCTAATGCTCTGATCACTATCCTCTCATCCTGAGTTCCCCCAATCATATATAATTATTTTTATAAATTATTAGATGTACCTTTATGATTACCAAAAACTTGATAATTAATATTTTGTCCATTAGATTCCAAGATAGACCTATCTTTTTCTCTTATGCAGAAGCTAAAAGCCTTAAAAAATACTTAATTTGTCAAGTTGGAATTCAGATTCTTATCTCAATAAATCCATTCAGAATACTATTAAAATTAAAATCAATTTATCTCTCACCGTAGTAGCTATCCTCAATACATTCAACGTCGTCATACCTTGAATTACATTCTCTTCATGTTATGCTTCTCGAGATGCCGATAGAGCAAAAGATCATTGGCTAAAAGACGGTGAGGATGATCACAAATTTATGTTTTCTAAGATTAAAGGGAGGGAAAATAAAAACCTAATCTCTTACATCTCTTCCTTTGATGGTTCTTTCATCAGTCATGTCGACAGTGCATCTTTGGTTGTGGATTCCTTTAAAAACTTATATGGTGCATGTATTGATCCTAACAATACTTGGGTCATCGTTCATTATGGTACTTCATTATTCAATTTTCTTCTCCCTCAATTGACTCTCTTGGTTACTGAGGAAGAGATCAAACAGTCTATCTTACTGTTTCATTGAACTCAGCCCCAGGGCTGGATGATTTCACCTCTGAATTTCGTAAATATCATTGACAACTTTTAGGGAAATAAGATTGTTCTTTAATAATTCTAAGCTTCCCAACTCTCTTAAGGATATTAATGTTATCCTAAGTCCCAAATACACTCATGTACAATCCCTTCAGAGCACATATCCATATCATTATGCAACACTCTCTACAAATCCATTGTAAAAATCTTCTCCAAGACGCTTAAATCTAATTTTCACCATAATATATATGAAACACAAGCTAATTTTATTTCAAATAAGTTGGCTATCAACAATATCATCCTCATTAATGAGATCCTTAATAGTTTTAATAAGGACTCTACCTCTTTTGTGTTTTTATGGATGGTTTCTCTAATCTCTTTGAATCTTTCATTATTAGGGGTGACTTTACTCCTACGACTCAAAATATGAACCTTCCTATCTCCCACCTTTTATATGTTGATGATGTTAGCATTTTTTGAACATGAAAATCCTTCCAACTTGAAAATGATGTTATAAATTTTTTACCATTCTTTTAATCTCATTTTAAATGCTGAAAAAAGTCATATCACTTTTGTTAAGACCGTGGTTTAAAAAATCGGACCGAACCAGCTGGTTTAACCGTGAACCGACTGGTTTTGCGGTTCTAAGCGGGCTAAAAACCTCTTGGAATCTTTCATTACTAAGGGTGACTTTACTTTTATGACTCAGAATCAAAACCTTGCTATTTCCCACATTTTATATGTCGATGATATTATCATTTTTGGAAAAAACTGACTGTGAAAATCCTTCAATCCTTCCAACTTGAAAATAATGTTAGAAATTTTCTACCATGTTTTTAATCTCAATATAAATGCTGAAAAAAGTCATATCACATTTGTTCGAGTTCTGGGCAAGCTAAAACCACAGCTTCATTGGTCAACGACCTAAACCATTTAAAAGAGCTTGTTGGGTTTGGAATTTTGTGTGAGGTCCAAACCAATTTTTTATCGCTAAGTTGTAAGGACTAAGGACCAATATAACAATAAAATAAACATATTATTTAATATTAAGGGCCCACCTATCCTGAAAGATGTCTAAATTTATGAAATTATTTCACTTTGTTCCTTCTTTCTACACTTCTCCCTTAAAGATCAACATTGAATATATTTTTAAGATGTGGGACTAAAACAAATGAAAGTATGAGAAAAAAATATTTTTAGTTATAACCATAAATATTGCACATGAAACTTATTAATTATTAAATTTGATAGATTTATTTACAAAATAGAATAAACAATTTAATAAAAAAAGGTTACTATATAATAAATCAATTTAATATGTAAAACAAAAAAAAAAATTATTTTGCGATTAATAAAGTTCATACAATTTTTTCATGAAATATTCTTAATAATATATCATTTTTAGTAAAAAAGTATATTTTCATCAAAAAAAAAAAAAATCTTCAATAAGATAAGATTGTGAATATTAATATTGATATTTTTATTTTGAGATTAATATTTTTCTAAATAATTTTTTATTATTATTATTATTATTATTATTATTATTATTATTATTATTATTATTATTATTATGTCTTATTTTATTTGAGACGTGGGACTATGTCATATTATTCTTTGTAACAAACTTCTTAAAGAATCAATTATGTTATTATTACATAATTTATATTATTTTTAAATAAATTTATGATTTATTATTTCGTTCGGTTCAACCCATGGTTCTAACCCAATTCAACCTTTAAACCATGAACTTCTTCCATTACCGGTTCAATATTCGATTCAGTTTTCAAAACCTTGGTTAAGACTATTACTAACACTGCTTCTTTAAGAAACATCATCAGTTCTAATATCTTTCAGCCTCATTTCATTTACCTTGGTATCACAGTTTTAGTACATAGAAGGAAGTTTACCTTCTTTCAGCTGTTGGTTGACAACGATAGATTAGTTTTGTATGAGTAGAAGGTGAAAACTCTTTCTTTGGCTGGCAGATACCAATTAATCAAATTTTCTATTTTGGGCATCATTTTGTACAAGGTTTGTAATATTTTTCTTCCCAAAGATTGCATTAAGATGATCCATACTTGGTGTTTCAAATTTTTGCTCCATAGCTCTATCTCTGCCAAGAAAATGCTTGCTGTTTCCTAGGACCCAATTTGCAAACCTAAGTAATTGGGTGGCCTAGGCCTTGGGTCCATCCAAGTTCTTTTTTATGATCAAGCTAATTCTTCATATTGCCAATGGTGCAGATTCTATTGATAGGTGGTTTATAAAGGTAATTATTTATCTTTCTCGAATTTAAAAAGCAAAAGAGGATCATTTTTGGGAAAAAAAACTTTTTTACATTGCTCATTGGTACAATTCTAGTTTTTTCTTTACAGTTCGAGATGGCAGCAACATTAATCGCCTGTAGGATCACTAGAGCAATGACAAAGGCCTTTCTGATTTGTTAGATAGTCTCTCATTTGATATTCTTGATTTCTATTAGGTAGATACTCTCAACTTACTCGTTAGACTAATATCATCTAGATGGTTATGACATTTCTCTTATCCTCACTCATAATCAATTTGACTGTCTTAGATGGAAAAGCATGGACAATCCATCATTTTAAATGATATGTGAATCACTACAGCCTAATACTAATAGTGCGGATTGGCGCAATCAAATTTGGCATAAAACGTTTGGATTTAGATACTTTGTTTACTCTTCGTTAGGAGCTCACAAACCCCTGAAAAATTGTTGATTTGCTTATCTTCAGAAACATTCCAGCAGACACTACTTGCTCGCTGTATCATGCTGGTAATAAATCTGTGAACCGCCTATTTCCTGAAACGGTGGCTATCACGGACTTCCACATTTCTCCCTAGTCTCAAATTTCTTCAAATTCTAGATTACGCATCAACTATGGCTAATATTTTTAGGACTGGGAGAAGCTTCTATATTCTCCTAGTACATTTTCTTTTTTTACATTATTTGGAAAGAAAGAAATGCTAGAAGATATGGGGGACAAATCAGTTGTGCCAATACTACCATTTTGGCCATTAATAGGGCAATCAAAGCTAACTTTGATATATGGAAACATAAACAGCAATGAGATGCTATTGCCTCCTCGCATACAATTATTATAAGAACTTCTTGCTTCTGCCATGATTATTTTTTATAAGAATAGCTACTGACTGTTTTTCTTCTTGGGATTTCGATCCAGCATAGAGGTTTATAGGGCAATGATGAATCTCTTTGAAAGAGTAACTTACCTGGCGTCCTATGTAGACATAGTATTTGATTTACTAAAGATCAGAATTATGAAGTCACCGTATTTGATTTACTGTACACCACTGATATAGAGAGCTAAATAACATCATAGTGAAAGTTTGGCAGAGTTATTAGTCAATTGATTTTTTTTGGATCGGTGAGCAATTTTAAATTTTGCTTGATGCCTTGTTAAGTACAATTTTTTAGAAATTACAAGTTATTTTTAAACGTGACCACCTTAAGACATTCATTTGCATGCAGATCACCCAATTCTTGTGTTTTACATATCTAGCACCTAAACTTTATTTTTTATATTTATGTCACTCAAATCTATCCTATCACATCAAAAATATTATTATTTTAATTTTTTAAAAATAAAATATACACGACTTATATGTAAAAATTAAAGTATAATTGTTATATACATACATAAAATTAAGTGGTACTTATGTAAATCTCTAAAAATAAACAAGCATTTACATACATATCAACCAATTCTTAACACATCTAATATTTATATCCCCCAAATCTCTCATATTACAAGAAAAATATCAATATAATTATAATAGTGATATTTTTTATATAATATGAAAGATTTGGGTGGTATAAAGGTAAAAATTAAACTTGAGGTGTTAGATTTATAAACAAATAAGAACTAGTGGTATGCAAATAAATCTTCAAAACATAAAGGCCTAAGAGGCTGTGGCAACCAATTTATTTCTGGATTTAAGTGGGATGTAAGTAAAATCTTGCCAAGACGATCATTTTAGACAAAATAAAGACGCAAATTTGTTAAATCCGGATTTCATTGATTTAAGCTGTAAATCCAAGATTTACTAAATCATGTGAATTGACGTATTTAAGTTCATAGTGTGAGGATTTAAGTTCATAATTTTTTTGTTTTCAGTCCTATAACTGTAACGGCTTTAAATTCCATGAAACTTGTGAAACTTTTTTACTGGATTTAGTAAGTCCATTGCCAATAGGGCTGTAAACGAGCCTAGTTTGAGTGACCTCAGGCTTGGCTCGTGTCCGACTTGTTCGAAATTGTTCATGTTCAAAATCGGCTTGTGTTTGGAACCGGCTCTTTAACAATGTTCTTGTTCAGCTCGTATTCGGTTCAAAATTGGCTCGTCAAAATTAAACTTAAAAAATAGATTTAAAGTACTGAATTCAAACCTGAACCAAATGTATGCAAAAAAAGTCACATAACCACATTATAAAACGAGAAGTAATAATTTAAACTTAGATATAAATATATATATAATATATCATTATATTAATAATATATGTAATATATTATTACATAAATAATTATATAATTTTTTTTTTATTTCGAGCTAAAACGAGCTGATCACGAGTGAATAAAGAGCTGTTCGTGCTCGACTCTTTTATAATTCGAGCTTTCGCTCGTGTTCGGCTCTTTTATAATTCGAGTTTTAAAAATTTATTCGTGTTCGACTCATTCGTTAATTAAACAATGAGTTTTTTGACAGCCCTAGCCACCCAAAAAAGTATTTCGAATTTAATCAACTCAGGATTTAGTAAATCCAAATTTATGGAAATTACTAAATCCATTTTAATTAAAAATCTCGTCACAGCCCCTGAATCAATTTGCCTTCCTCTGTGACCATATCTCCGCTTAACTCTACCCGAAAATTTCCTCTGCACACAATCGATTTCTGACTTCCCGTCTTCTTCAGCTCCGATCTCACAAAGGTCAAACTACTCTTTTTTCTATATCATAAGTTTGCCGAAATTAATCCCAATTTGGAAATATGGACTCGTCTTTTGAGTTGCCGCTCTGTTTATTGCCACTATTATGGGCTAATTGGAGTTCGATTTGCGATATTAGATTTCTAATGGTATGAATAAGTGATTTCAATTTGGACTGGATTGAATCTGCAGATTCCGAATAATGTGTTACGGGACTATTCTGTGCAAGGATCCTGATTTCAAGACGGTGGACTAGGGTTTCCAAAAAGTTGCTGCTAGGATCACATCCGCCGGCCTGGCAGTTCCTAAGTGCTTGGTGAGTAGTTCCTCAAGTGCTTGGTGAGCTCGCACACATAAATTTTAGTTGTCTTTATTTTTTGTTTCACGTGTTTGGCGAACACATTTTTGTTCAATCTGCAGTGAATTAAGACAAACTCTGTGATATGAATGGGCCATAAAGGACTGCATTATATGTTTCTATTCTACAATCTTCCTAATGAAAAGTAGGGTTCTTATACAATCCATCTTTTTAAGTTATTTAATCCAGCTACTATACATGATTTGCACGATTTGGTGATGTTAAATTTTGAGTAGTTGTTTGTATTCCCTTTTCTGCATAGTTCTTTTCTTTCTTCTTTCCTTCGTCTATGCCATCTTCGGTTTTTCCCCATAGGACAGAGTAAAGGCCTATGATTATGATGATCGCCCCAATCAAACTGCAATCATAAAAAATAAAAAAAATATAATTATAATTATAATGAAAAACAAAGAATTGTGATGCCTTATTTTTCTTCCAGGTAAAGGAAAAAAGAAATTTTTTTGCAGTTGGTAAAGATCATAGAAGCTATTTCTATTGTCTAGAATTTTTTTTCTATATTAGATTGTCAATTTGTACTTCTACACTAATATTTTCATTAAAAAAAAAGATTGAGATGGATAAGAGGCAAGGCAACCATGGAAGATAGTGGTGTTGAAATAATGAAAAGCTGTATTTCCATTCACACGACACAACTATTATCTATTTATACATCTAACACCTAAGTTGTCATTTTTATATGTGGGCGTACTTACTCTCGACATAATGGTTGAAGATGTAGTTTCTTACCATGAGGCACCAGGTTCAAATAACACATATAAAAGAAGGTATTGAGGGCCATGCACCAGCTAATTCGACTCACTGAAATGAAAAGTAATCGTTAAACTTACTACAAAAGTAATTTGCCAGTATATTAGATTTTTTCGCATTTGGGATGAAAATCAAGACAGAAAAATTATTACTGAAGTGTAAAAATAAGATATGATAAGTTCATATAAAATGTAAATATAAAATTATTTTATGTAGAATAGTATGTGGAACAATTATCGAACACTACCATTGCCGGGTCTCAAGCCCCAGACGCGAAGAGTGAAGGGTTGTGTTAAGTCGATAGCCAACTTCAATTTTTTTATTGAAAAGTCATGACATAAATCTTTTAAATTACTATATAAAATGTTAGGGCGTCCTCTTATATGACGCAATTAAAGTGAAAAAAATGCAATGGCCACTGCACGAGCTCTCTGGTGTAGTGTCAAATAAGTAAGGGTTTTCACATTATGATAGATACTAGTCCATCAAATTAATATTAGGATATGATCTCAAAATATAAGTACTCTCAGAGATAAATTAATTAAATTAGTAGATATTATGATTCATAGGAAGATAAATATCTTATGTATTCAAGAAACTAAATAGGTTGGAAGAAAAACTAAAAAGATTGATAGCTTAGGTTTTAAATTTTAGTATTCAAGTATGTGTCATACTAGGAATGATGTAAGTGTAATTATAGATAAAAGTTTAAAAGATAATATGATAAAAATTAATATATTTGGAGATAGAATTATAGTCTTAAACATTATTGTTGATATTGAAATTTTTAATGTTATAAGTGTTTATGCTTCTTAAGTAGGTTTAGATATAGCTTCAAAAGAAAAGTTTTGGAATAACTTTGATGAATTAATACAAATGATATAACTTGAAAAAAAATTATTATTAGAAGAGATTTAAATGGATATATTGGTAGAGTAATAGAAGATTTTAAAAATATTCATGGTGGCTACGGTGTTGGAGTGATTAATGAAGAAGATAAAATTATATTAGATTTTGCTTTAGCTTATAATTTTATTATTTCTAATACTTTTATTTAAGAGAAAAGATTAACATATCATTACTTATAAGCATGGATTTAATAAAACACAAATTGATTATTTTCTGATGAAAAAAATAGATCTTTGAAAATATAATGATTGTAAGGTCATTCTAATTGAAAATTTAAGTACTCAAGATCGATTATTAGTTCTTGATTTTACGATGAGAAGTTAGAATATAAAAATATAATGAAATATTGTTATACAATTAGGTGGGGGCACCGAAAAAACAAATAAAATTATTTTTACGAGCAAATTTAAAGATTTTAAAATTTAGGATGTTCATGAAGATACAAGTTGTATGTGTGATAACATAATAAACACTATTAAATAAATGATAAAACATATAGTTGTAGAATCAAAAAGAAAAATTTTTATAAATAAAAATAATTGGTGGTGGAATAATAATATTCAAGAATAAATAAAATATAAGAAAATTTATTATAAACTAAGAAAAGAATAAGACACGTAGGGAGTCTATGAGAACAATTTGTGACGCTAAGAGTTATGATTTTAGTGATCTTCATAATAGATTAGATACTAAATAATGTAAAAAATATATATATAAATTGATCAAATAAAGAGAGAAGAAAAGTAAAGTGTATTAAATATGAAAATCAAGAACTATTTTTCTCAGAGGAATATATTCAATATAGGTGGGTGATATATTATGATAAATTTTTCGATGAAGTTTCTGAAAATACGATTGATCTTAATAATCTTAATATCGTTAATGATAATAAATTTTTTATTATTTTTACCGTCACATTAGTAAAAAAGGAAGTCGATGAGGCTTTAAAGAAAACTATGGGTTACAATTCAGTAATATCTGATGATATTCCAATTGAAATGTGGAAGATTTAAGAGTTTCTTAACTTACTGAACTCTTTATTATTATTTTAAAAACTAAAAAGATGTCTGAGGAGTGGAGAAAGAGTATTTTGGTCCTCATTTTTAAGAATAAATATGACGCATAAGAGTGCAAACTATACATGAATTAAGTTAATGTGTCATACATTAAAATTATTGGAGAGAGTAACTGAACATAGGTTAAGACGTGATACAAATCTCTCATAATCAGTTTAATTTTATGTCGGGCAAGTCTGTTGTAAAAGCTATACATTTATCGAGAGGTTTGATGAAGAAGTGCAGAGAGAGTAAGGAAGATTTACATATGATTTTTATTGATTTAGAAAAAGCTTATGATAAGATTCCAAGAGAGTTTATTGGAAAGTTCTAGAAAAAAGGGTGTTGATATTACTTACGTTCAACTCATTAAAGGTATGCATTCTAGAGTTGTTACTTGTGTTCGAATAGAGGGAGGATTGACCGGGTATTTTCCTATTTCAGTCAGATAACATCAGGGATCGGCTTTAAGCTCATATTTTTTTGCTTTAGTAATGGATGCTCTTACTGGACATTTACAGGTAGGGTTGTCAAAACGGCTCGTTATTCGCAAACGGCTCGTTCGCGAACAACTCGTGTTCGGCTCTACGATCCCCGATTATCTCTCATGCGCCTATAAATTCAAGTATCATACCCTACACTCGGGGGGAATCGAATCCGAGACCAGATGAAACTTACGACTGACAAGCATGAGTAGTATTTTTAAAAAAATTAATTAACTAAAGGCTACAAAGATTTATAATCAATTAAAAGTATTAATTAAAAAAATAGAATAAAAATTATTAAATTAAATTCAAATGATGTTTTAATATAAACAATTTTTTTAAAATCTTGCCCCAACCCTTAACATCATATGGTTACGTGATTATGGTTCTCAAAACGACTCTTTATTCGTGAACAGCTCGTGTTTGACTCGCTAAACAAACGAGCCAAACACGAACACACTTTTTGAGCTCGAAATATAAACGAGCCGAATACGAGCTGAGTCTGGGCTCGCTCGTGTTCGGCTCATTTACACCCCTATTTACAGGAGGATGTGCCTTGGTGTATGTTTTTTTGCTGTTGGTATTCTTCTTGTGGATAAGACTAGAGAAAGAGTTCAAGAATAACTTGAATTATGGAGGTTTACATTCGAGTTTAAGGCCTTTGTTTGAGTAGACCTAAAAAATAATATGTGGAATGTAATTTCATTAATGATAGATCTAATTGCAAAGTTGTAACTATGGGTGACCAAATAATTAAAATGTGCAAACGTTTTAGATATCTCGGGTCTGTTGTTCAAAGTGATAGTGATATAGGTGGGGATCAGGGCTATTGTTCAAAGTGATAGTGATATAGATGGGGATATTATTGTAGAATGCAAATTGGTTGGTTGAAATGGAGGAATGCATTGAGCCTATTGTGTGATAGAAAAGTATTGCTTAAGACTTTAATGAAAATTTTATAAGAATGTGGTGAGGCCTGCAACGCTTTATGGTGCAAAATCATGATGTTTAAAAGAGAAACATTAAACTAAGTTGAGTCTTGCTGAGATAAGAATGCTAAGTTGGATGAGTGGTGTAGCTCCATTGACAGACAAGATTAGAGAGAATCGTCTTAAATGATTTGGTCGCATTAAACGTTGATTAGCTGATGATCTTGTTAGGAGGGTAGATGTTTAAGAAAGGCAGAGGTAAACCTAAAAAGATTTGGACATATTGTATAAAAATTGATCTTAATTTAGTAGAGTTAAATGAAATAAGACACTCAATAGAACACACGGAAGAAAAAGTATTCATGTAACTAACCCCACTTAGGAGGGGTGTTTGGCTGCAACTGCAGATTTATTTTAGTAAACTTTATGAAATTCTCGAAATCTCATGAGCTCGCGACGGACTTGGAGCATGCGAGCAACGACGAAATAAATCCATGTAATCAGCCTCACAATTGGATTTGATAAATCCGGATTTACGTCGCAGAAGAGTTGGAACGGGGGAGAAACAGAAGGAATGGGAGAGAATTGGATTTAACGGAGACTTGGATTTGGGGTTTCCTTTTTTTGGTGTTTGGCTAGATTTAGGTGAAATTTATGGTTAAATCCTGTTAATATTGTGCTACCTAACAACCCCTTAGTGTAATAAAGGCTTCTTGTTATTGTCATAGTATGTTGAACAATTATTGACATAAAATAAGTTCTTTCATTTTATATGAATAATATAATTTAAAAGAATTATTTTTCCTGATTATTAAAAGTCTTATGTAAATCTTAAATTTATTTTTAATACACTAACATTAGCTTTGAAAAATAACTTTTATTGTTAATGCCATTTTAATTATTATATTTAAAATTTTCTAAAAATTCTCAATGCCCAACTCAAGTTTGAATAAAAAAAGATTAAAAGTTTGATTGAATTATTAATTTGTGCTCCCTCTAAAAAAATCTTTTTTTCTCCATCCTTGTATGTAAGTATGCAAATCTCAACACCCCCCGCCCCCCCAAAAAAAAGATGTGGGATTTTAACAATAAATTCTAAAATTCTTATCAAATTGGTCAGTTTTCTTGAGACAATTTAATGGTAAATGCATGCACATTACATATACAAGGCCTTGAGCCCATGACATTTTAGTTTTAAGCCTGAGATGTTAATCAATATATGCTAAGATGGCCTGCATATCAACCAAGTTTATCGGCATCTACAACCTTCTTTAAAAATAATCAATAAGTTTTATTATATTATTTAATTGGGGGAAAAGGAGGAACTTGACCTCGCAAATATATGCTTCAAAAGATAAGCAAGCGTGTAAAATGACAACTTAGTGCCAATTCTAGTATTTCATACTTAATGGTCTGTTTGGGGCAATTGTAACTTATCTAGCTTCTATTGATAAACATTTTATCCTGATAATCTGCTAATGAGCAGCTGATTCAGATAAGCTGGTTGGCTGTTTGGTTTGTACGTTTGAAAAACAGCTGATTCTGGATAAATGACTATTTTGCCCCTGTTCTGGATAAATTGTTTAACTGTTTGGTTCTTGTGTTTTGTAAACAGATTATTACTTTTTTAGTTAAATGAACAATCTGTCACGCAAAATTTGTAATTTTCTCAATAAAATTAAAGTTCAAATGTTAAGACGTGAAAGCACAAAAGAGTTGAGTTAAAAAATGACAACACTAGCTTTAGAAAATTATCACAGACATTTTCATCAGATTTAATAACATCAATGTTGATGCATACTTAGACATCCGTACTTTTTTAAAAAATTATAACACTAGCTTTAGAAAATTCAAGGGAAGGTTTCTGCATGATTCTTGCACAATATGCAGTATCTCGACTTTACAAGACTAATTTTACTTTCTCAAATTTAGCATTTCAAGAATCTCTCTAGCATAATCTTGAAACTCATTTCTCTCTCAAGCAAGACGAACAAAAATACTATCCAAATAAAATTCGACTAGAAGAAAAAGATAACACCTAGATTTGTTCTAAGGTTTCTTGTAAATCCATATACGAAAAGAAAATTTCAATTCAAAAATTCTAGTGTAATATCTCAACTAACCACTTGTAATTTGAAAAATTTATGTCATCACTCATATGCCCTAAAAGTAACCCAAACAAAGTAACAATTTCAACAAATTTGAACTCAGCTCTAACTAAAACAGAAAATCCAAAGTAAAATGCTTGTGTAGTACCTATGTAGTTTTGAAGCATTTACATACATATCATCAAATTCCTATGTATTTACATATATCTAAAGTTCCTTTTTTTTATATTTATACCACTCAACTCTTTTATATCAAATAAAAAATATCATCATTTTAATTTTTTAAATATGAAATATATTTTCTTTTGCACAAGTAAGATGATCTGCATGGAAAAATTGATGATTTAAGAAAGGAAAAATGCATAAGGATTGAGTGTTACTTATGTAAATCTTCCTCCTTTCTAAGGGAGGAGAAAGTTTGTATTTGTCCCAGCAACTGCGCCAACCCACTCATAAATCGCTTCTCATGGGCTTCGCCGCTTCGCCGTCGAAGAAGGGCGTCGAAGAAGGGAAAAGCTTCTCCTCTGATTGCCCTACTCTCCTACTGGCTCGTATTTCGAAAGGAGAAAACCGCTATTTACTTCCTTCCCTACGCTTGGTCATATCATCGATGCAACCTGGACTCTCAATTGATCGCGAAGAGAATGAATACCGAAGAAGAGGGAGTGGCTACGACAGAGCTGTCGATCGTGAAGGGAAGGAATACCAAATAAGGAGTGGCTAGGACAGAGCTCTCGATCGCGATAAATAATGCCGAGAGGGAGCGATTAGGGCAGGTAGAGCTATCGATCGCGAGGGTAGCGGAGTAATACGCAACCTTCCAACACAGATCGCGGGGATATACCCGCGGTCCACATGTAATACAAAATAAGAAACGTTGTTTTTAGAAACGCGTCTCAAACGTGAGAAACAAACAGAAAGGCGGCGTTCCGCACTTATAAACTGCCCCAAACGGGCCCTAAGTTAGCCTGAATGGTGTCAAAGATAGGCCCTCTAAATTATCTGAGTTGGATTTGGCCCAAAAATTGTAGTTCTGACAAGAAGAATTCATATATCTATGCAGAGATATTTGTATGTAGTAAAAATAAATGAGAAAAATGTATGGCGGTATTATATTGGGCTTGGGTGAAAATTTAATTGACCTACATTTGACTTCTTGAAATGGCTTGTAATTTGTGTTGGGCCAAAGAGTGAAAAATAACTCTTTAAACACTCAAATTGGGAAAGTCAGTCTATGCCTTGTCAACCCACTAGCATAAAACCCATAAACACACTTTAGGATGCAGTAATTCGACCAAATGAGGCCTAACTAGGGCCCACAATAACCTCTCAACATGAAGTGAATGTGATTATCTTGGGTCAGCTCAAAAAATTAAGGCGCGTTTGTCACATCACTCACTTAGTAATTGAGCTTAGTTCTGATTTCATGGTTTATATGTTAAATGATTGACTTCAGATTAGCGTAAATAGGTCTGGTCTTAGAACCGTTGATCAAAGCATTTTGATTATAAGCCTCTGCTTATCCTTAACTTAAAAGATAATTCACCTATTCAACTGATTAAGAATATATTTGACGGATAAATATGCAAAAATGAAATAATCTCACAGACTTCCTTCCGAAAGTAAACTGTAGAAGGAACTCCTTTCTCCCTTTCCATAGGAGTTAAAAAGCTCTTAATGATTCCCATGGATGGATCATATATATATATATATATACATATATATATATATATATACATATATATATATATATAC